GAGGAGGAGGAAAGGGAATCGCTGATAAACAGAATATGGTGCGCCGGAGACACACGCGGACTATTTCCTTCAGATGACAGCGGGAGACTTGTCGCTCTGTGAGGCGTTCGATCAAAAGCCCTAGTGAGGAATCTGGGCCGGTCATGACGTTAGACGACTGAGCTATCGCTTGCTGGGTAGCACGGATTCGAACTAAGGAGTCAGTGGCAGAAAACCGACAATAAGCGCTCTAGTGCATCCATTTGGGCACCAGCATTTGGTCCACAAACTCTGGTTAGACAGAAGAGTGGCGCCCGAGGCGTGCAATCTCGCTTACTAATGACCATCGTCGGCGTGTCCCCCCACTTATTGTAGCCGCGGTTGGCTCAACCTGGACCGTGATCACTTTGGGTCCGTTTACGCCTTACTGCCTTTGCGCGATCGGCCATCACAAGGATTTACGCAAAGATCCTCGCAGTGGTCCGTCCAATAACTCCCGCCTGCACCGCGGAGGGGAATGTTTTTTCGGAGCCTACCGCACAGCCCAACCCTTCAGTAGCGCCGCTGCCACCAACAGTTCACTCTCATCCGTATCGTGGACAAGGACACTTCTGTTAGAAAATACCTCTGACGGTAGGTGGGCGCGCGGCCCTAATCAAAACCCCTCGGACAGGAGACCAGTGGGAGTACACAAGGCTTCTACGAAGAAATCTCCTTTGGACGGATTAGGCATGACCCATGCGCTGGGATGTATTCGAACGATGATGCCTGTGCTCCGTTTTCCACACTCTCCTCCATTATAGAGGGTCCACCTTGGTAATCGTTGATTGAAATGGCTCATTCGTGTGTTGCACCAAACTGAAAGCCAGATCGCCTGGGATGCCTGATCGCCCCGGCTGAATGAAGACGTGGGTGGATGTTGCGAGAGCTAGCCTCAAGGACATCCCCCGGCCCTGACGCCTGGTGTGCCAACTGTCTAAACTTCGCCCGGGACTATATATTCGACCGATTGCAATGGAGTACAACCGTTGACAATGTGGTGGATAATTTATGATGAATGTTTTACGAAGACAAGGATGATTATAACTGGTCCTAGCGTCCAGTGCAGTTCAGAAACTGCGCCTGGTAATTTGCCCTAGACAATGGCAGTCAAAACTCTCACTACCGCGCAGCTGTAATTAATAACTCAACAGATCGATAAGCATCTATACATGGAAACGTGACCACCGCGTTATCCGCCATTGTTTATACGGCAGCGTTGCGTGCGGCACCCCGGACTAGCAGCGTAGCTATTCGTCTGTCCCCTTTGGACAGACCGGCAGTCCACAGTCAGGTTAAGGAAAGGGACTTCGTCTTCACGGGTTTTCTTCCTTACAACCACCTTACTATTCCAATCAGAGTTCGGAGCCCTTGTATATAAGAACGCCCATCGTTAAATGTGAAAACGGCAAAATCACATTTTACTTAAAAAGGTGAAAGTACTCAGTAAGGCAGTGATAAAAAATTTCTATTTAAGACTCTCAAGCCCAAAAATTCGCTTGCAGTTGGTACACGCACTAGGGACCTATTTGAACAACTGGCCGGATGGCGGAGCGTCTACTTTCCGTCCTCTACTGATAGGTCGCAAGACCCATCTGCCCAGCCATGGCGCCAACGTTCCAGCACTTTAGAACAGTCAAATAGCGGTTTCTTCAGTTTCTCGTTAACAAGGTTGTGCTGCATGCAGAGCCAACCACTCAGGTTACGACGATTGGAGACATCCACTGGGTGCTTCTTAATGTCTAAGGAAAGAGAAAGGAACACGGTGAACGGGCGTTTAATCGTGGAAGAAGGAAGTGGGCGAAAACAATTTTCGACCGGAAGCTATTCGCAACAAACACCGTCTCAACCAGTTACCAACTATTTCACTGTACGTAACAGATTTAATCCAAAGTATTACAAACAGGGACAATGGAGACTGGGATGGCCAGCTAAACCGACATTTGAGCCAGAGGCAACTAGTCACCAAGTACTTCGGCCAAATGTCCCACCTCATGAACCACAGGCCGGCGCCCGGTCCACTGCGATCAATCTGCCCCGACAAGAGGATGGAGCACGCGCAACAGATATGAAGAGCGAGAGGAGGGGTACCAGTTGCATGTTTAAAACGTATGAAAACTAAAGACAGGTCATGGGAGACCGTAGGACACGGTACTAACTGATTCAATTCAAGAGCGGGACGTGCCGGCACCAAATGAAGTTTGGTGCTCACATACATGCAGTCACGGGCGCTCGCAATGCGATAAAAAAACCTACTGTGGGAACAACTAACTGGGCAAATATTCTCGATAACTACCGATGGAAAGTAAGCGCACAGATTAACAAAAGAGCGGCAGACTGGGTAAAGCTCAAAATTTTCCTGATGACGAATAAATTAGAAATGGAGGTCTTACTAGCCTGTCTTGTCTACACGCATAAAAACCAAGTCTACTCGCCGGGCTCCTAGTAACTTACGAAACGGATTGGCAGAGGACAATGAGAGCAGTTATCACTCTGATGAATTGGCTATTACGCAAGCAGTTATTCTTGTTTTAAGAGTTGGGGGGGTGTTAGGAATGAGTAAAATACTATCGCAAATCCTTATCGGTCGTTTTTTAAATACAGCCAAAAACGCCTGATCCGAAAAGTAGCCAAACTGACCGGCCTGCTGCACTTTGTGAACACATGGACCTTGGTCGTAAACTTTTTGCGTACGTTAAGATACTGCAGTGCCATCAGTACTAGTTTACCGCGCAGCATATGAAAACATCTACACTTTTTAAATATGAGGCTGCCTCCTCTGTCAATGTAATCTAAGTCGCCTTCTATCCACTGAAATTAATTATTTTCGATATCAGATTCCACACTTAGCCAAATGTAAATGCTTGTCCATTTTGATTTTTCGATATTAGCTTGAGACTGTTGGATTGATTCCAACTGGTTCAGTTAATGTCTGACTGGGTCATCTGCGACTGAAAGACGGTACTTACTTTTCTGGAAATCCATAGCGCAATATTTGCAGGGGAAGAAATCCGCGAAGCTGGAGAAGAACTTTTCCATGGAGACCTTTTGTTCGTAGGTGGGATGATTGGGATAGTAGGCTGCCATCGTGTGCAAAAGGGTCCAGGTGGCACGACCAAGGCCAGTCTTATCAACGGGGCAACCTGCAGAAACATGCAGACCGGAACGTTAGGTTGCTCATCTCTGGCTGTAAAGGCAAGAAGGAAATCTTGGTTTTCCTTCCGACTGACCTTTCGGATCAAGGAAGTATGGGGACTCTCGACGCGATTCCGGCTTTAATTTCTTAAAGGTAGACAAGTCCACACATGCCCGACAAAATGACCGACTTTTTGGATTGTAGAAGTCTTTTTCCTCGTCCTCTTGGGAAGGATCATCCAGCCTCGCCTGTCGAGACATGTTTAAAGGACTTCAAGGCTGCAGTGGCTGTTCTGAAATCATTTTAAAATTGAATTAAGTGAAGTTGCACAGCAGAGAGATGCAATTCGTGTAAATGCTGGACAGCTAACAAAATGCCAGATCCCGAATAATCCAGCTGACTCTACTGGGCTTCACCGGCAGCCAGGGTAGAATATGGTACTGCTAGTGAATAGCGTTTTTATGCATCGTTTATCCCTGACAAACGGAAGTCAAAGTATTTGATGTTTTCAACCGTGAAGCTAAATTGAGGTAAAATCGGCCTAATCTGCAGAAACGCGACGTCAAACGAACTACAAAAGAGCCGGTTGGGCGAGGAATTGACAAAATCGGCAAGACAAAAATGAGACACCTGAGTGCACTGCATAAACAGACTTCGAATTGGCATTGAAGTGCACTCGCTTTCGTTTAAATCTTGACAATGATATATTAGTAATCAGCTCCATTCGCACAAACGCCCACCAACGGTAAGTCGATTTTAACGAGCGCCACGAAGCCTGACAGGCAGAGAGCATAAACTATGTCTGCCAATTTACCGCGTATGTGGGCCGTTGGTGAAATATACGGCGGTGCGGTTTTTAATCACCCGGATACTCCATCGCCGGAGTCTTACGATACCCCAGGGACAGACTTTTGTCCTTCGTTACGAAGTGTGCGACTCTGGTGAAAGATCGGCAGAAGAAGGGAATAACAAACGTTGTTCACTATAAGGCTTGCAGTTTCCAAGTACCGTTTATGCTCCAGTAAAGAAGCCAGTGGCGGAGATACCAACGAATTCCAAGTTTACCAGCTTGTTAAACGGGAGCTCTACTTTGATATCAAGATGGAGTCCAAATTGTCAAAAACAAAATTAAAAAGGCATTAGGGTGCGCTGATAGCTGCAGGAAGTGTCCAAAAAGAAACGCATTATTTTGAGAATGATTAAGTAGTCTTTGCTAAGACTAGGAAATTCGACGGTATTTCTACTAGGAGGAGAATCAGTTTCAGTCATGCCAAATCCAGCGTGGTCTAGGGGCAGAACTATGTCAAAGTGAGCAACAACAAAATTTGGAGCAGTGGCTAACCTCACGTACACCGACCCATCGGCTACCCAAGGCAGACAGACCCCACAAAATTAATGGAAAAAGTCACAAATTGGTGGTAACCTAGAAAGGTGAGCTCGACCGGGAAATGATACCAGGTCTCGACAGAAATGCGAGCAGATTGATACAGCATTGGTTAAAGTTTTATGCATATCTATTGGGCTGTGCACAACCTCCAACACCATTTGTCGTCAGAAACATAGCTTAATAAGTCCACGGAGTCAATTGAAGGGGTCGTTGGTACTTCGCCACACGAGAGTCCAGGATGCCAGTGGATGGGTGAGCACCTCGCTTTGTGCGGATGAATACCTGCACTGTAATGACCGAGATTGCCAGGTGGCAATTTACTGGCGGACTTAAGCTCAATAAAATGTTTTGCGGCCAATCTGACAGACATCCTGTGGACCATCTGTGTTGTCTGCGTGCGCATGAGAACGCTTATGTTTTCTACACCGGATAGTGCGCAAAGTAGGGAATGCAGAACATGTCCGAGGCGGCGTCATATAAACTGATTTGAATTTTCGATTTATAAGTTCCCTTATGTCATGGCGTGGTCGGGCTAGGCATGGTAGGTGATTACCTCTCAGCGACCCCTGCCAATTGTTCGCAGAAATTATTTGCTAAAAGAAGCGAAGAGGCGAGTTCCAGGAAGTAGTCGCGAAGAAGGAGACACGATCGCTGGAACAAGTGCTTTATTAGTCTATTTGGTAAACCAGTGGATCTATGTGCACCTATTCCTGCGAGAAATAACAGTAAGTAGTGCCGACAAATTCTTAATGATGCCCAGGACGGATGGAGAACAGGTCAACATGTGACATAAACTAAGACAAAAGAGGGCAGAATCACACAGCAACTCAGACAGGCCAAACACTCTTCGAGAGTATATGGCAATATCTTCTGCTTGTGGATGAGGATTAACAGGCATAGTCCTGTTTGAATGATCAAGCATGATCGATACGACGCAATTTTTAAGGTGATTTGATTTTGATATTTGCTTTAAAAAAACAGATGGCAAGCAACAGCCGGCATGTAGGGCCACGTGAACGACGCAAATTCGGCTTGTATCCGGTCCAGGATCTGAACTTTAGGAGGTTCGAAGATGTCTAATGTTAGGGAACCCAAACACCATGGACAACAGACGTTAGTCTAAGACATCGACATATAAACAATACACTGTTAGCAGCTAGAATTCGTAGATAGGTTGCTCAGCCGTGGTGCACTCATCGTCGTTGCATCAAAAACGACCAAAGGAGACCTAGTGGTCCCCCCCGCCAACCACATTACCTGATGTTTTCGCCTAAGTAGCAGCTGCACAAACGGCGAGGTGACACTGAGAGATCGAGATGTCAAGAAATCGGAAGGAAAGGTTTGCATTTGGCAAAGTTCAGGCGTCTCAGTTACGAAGGCAGTATGGATGAGCACACTGCTGTTGCTGGATCAGTGTTCCTAAGTTATGCATATGGACATCGTCAGCCTCAGGTACACTAACAGGTGTTGCATTATTGTGTTTCTCAGGCGAGAATGGTATGGAATTTTCATATACAGAGTGGCCGTCTCCTGATAACAATCACCAATACCTTTTTCACCACTGGGGGCGAGTAGTCGAACGGATACAGTTCCTTCCCCACCCCTATTTAATCGTATATGAGCATATCGGGGGCTACACTAGGACAGATTAACCTCTTCAACGAGCGGATCAAATTTAGACCGTTGACTGCTCTTATTCAGCAGAACTCAGTCAGGAAGGGCAAGTCACATGAGGAAAGAAGTCCCAGTGGTTGACTTACTATTGTAGACAAACATTATCTCATAAGGTTTTGTGTTAGTGGCGGTACGCAAAAGTGATTTGAATGAGAGTACAGCGTCAAGTGAAACGGACTTCTACTGCGTGACAGACAAACTTTGGGATTTTAGAGCAGGTAAGGTGGTCTTCCCTAAAGTTTGGTTCAAACGCTTGACCTGCTCAATTCCTTGGATATTGTACGGAGTTGTCCTACTCGTAGCCATTCCCTTAAGGCGAAGGAATTGTTGAACTTCGTATGACAAAAATGACGATCCCTGATCGGTGTGTAAGTACGAAGGAGTGCCGAATATGGAGCAGTGCTGGCACAGTCCTTTAATGACAAGTTCGGCAGTCTGATCAGGACAGGCCAATGCGAATGGGAAACGAGAATATTCATCAGCAGATAGCGGTTGTGGGTTACCGACGGGGGACCTTTGAAGTCGGGTGACAATCGTTCGAACGGCTGGATAGCTTTGGTGAGTTGGCCTTGTGCTTTAAAAGAACGGGGCTTGACTTCACAGCAGGCCTGACATTTAGCGACGACATTACGAATCTCTTCCATCGAAAAGGGGAGATCCCGAACTCGAACGATGTGCGAATGCCGAGATACCGGGGTGACAAGGTGACTCATGTACTTCTTTTATATCGACACTGATTAGTAGGGCGCCACAGCACTTACAGGAAGGCGTTTCCACCGCTTGATTTTCTTTACCAAGGCAGTACACAATGTCAAAGTTGGATGGTAACGGCTACGACCTCTAGCGTTCGATCGTATCATTCTTGACTTTTTGCTTTTGCTGATTGCCGAAGATAAAGGCAACAGAAAGCTGATCCGTGATGAGTCTAAAGTGATTACAGAGGAGGAAGTGCTTCCATTTGCGTATGGATTCCACTACGGCGTATGATACTTTCTCTTTGGCTAATGATGTTCATCTGGAGAAGGGCTACGTGAAAATAACGCTGCTGGTCGGCAATTCTGATTCCGTGTGGGAGCGTTCGCGACGTCTGAGGCATCAGTCTCGACAGCTAACGGGGTATCGTTCTGAACAGTGGTCACTGTGGCTTTCGCAAGTACCTAAAAATGCTTTCATTACGGTAAAGGGAAAGTTTTGTCATGGATGAGCGGATGCATTTTATCTGAAGAGTGAGATACCCATCGTGAGAAGTATGAAAATAATTTCACAGTTCGTTGTTGAGATCTAAGATAATGCAAAGGGGCCACCTCACGCAAGGGCCTTCGACGATCCGGATCCGGCCTAATACCCTCGACTAGTCGGCTTAAAGACTGGAAACTGCAATTTTGACGCTGTTACGGAAGAACAAATTGTGACGGTGTCATCGGGGCATGTTTAGCAGTGGCCAGTCGTTAAACCAGATTCTGCAAAGATTAATGGGGCAAACACCTTAGTCCTTTAAGCTGTCTTTGATCGGACAAGGTCACTGTAATCTCACCCAGTCCAGTTAAGGCACCTGAGGTAGCAGTTTATAGTTCCTCCTATAACAGGTGTTTATTTTGTGGATATGACAAGCATCCTCGTTCGAAATATCCCACGGTCGACGTTATATGCAAACTATGCGGCAAAAAGGAGCATTTCCAAAAAGTTTGCCTGAGATCACGAAACTGAAGAGATTTCTCTTCCTTGAAACATAAGGCCATTTGCATCGTAGCACTGGTTGCTGTTGCCGATTGCCTTTCAGACAGAGTGGTTAAACGACAGATAAACTGGACTAATTTCCAGGCCTTGATTGACACAGGCAGTTCTGAGAGTCACATTTCGTCTTCCATAGTTCTCCAAAATAACTAGGAAGCTCACAAACCTCGAACCAATATATCCGTGGTCACCACCACTCTAACAAGCGACATGCAAGAGCATGTCTTCGTATAGATTAAACATAAAGGTAGCGTTTAGGAGAAGGTCGAGCTGTCGATCTTATCGGATTTGTGAGTCCACATTTCACTCGGTCATAAATCCATCGGCTTCATAAGCGCTGAAATTCATTTTGGTGGAACTAAACGTACGTTCTCAGTGTTCGGTGGTTTCCGATTGCGTCGAGCACTCTTGATGGTTTCTTCATTTGCGGACCAAGAGCTCAAAAACGAGCAAAGTAAACTTGTG